GTGGGGTTGTTAACCAATGTCATAAAACAGCATGTGTGCTACTGTTACATGAGAAACTATCTGTTCTGTAAGCCTTCACCTGAAGTACAATAAAATATTAAAAAAAAAAAAAATCCTCCACTAAAGGACCACATGAACCAGAGCCTCCATCAGCCTGAGCCCAGAAGAACTAATGGTGTCCGGTTACCACTACCAACTGCTCTGATAGGGATCACAACAGACAGTCCCGGACAGAGTGGGAGAAAAATGTAGAACAAAATTCAAATTCATGAAAAAAGACCAGACTTACTGGTCTGACAGAGGCTGGAGGAACCCCTGAGACAATGGCCCCCAGACACTCTGCTAACTCAGAACTGAAACCACTCCCAAAGCCCACTCTTCAGACAAAGATTCAACAGACCTATGAAGCAAACAATAACACGTGAGGAACGCGCTTCTTGGTTCAATCAAATATACGAGACCAAATGGGCAACTCCTGCCCAATAGCAAGACAAGAGGGCAAAAAGGGACAGGAATTGGACGGATGGGCACGGCGAACCAGGGGTGGAAAGGGGGAGAGTGCTGTCACATTATGGGGATCGTGGCCAATGTCGCAGAACAACGTGTGTAGGAATTTTTGAACGAGAAACTAATTTGAGCTGTAAACTTTCTCCTAAAGCTCAATAAAATCTAAAAAATCCTCCAGAATGGGTAGAATCTCCCCTATCCTTGTAAAAATTGTTTGGTTGAATTCAATAAATCTCCATTTTTTTGAGAAAAAAAAAAAGATAATAGACCTGGAACTATTCAGGTCTACATTCGTTAAGGGAATTAGCTGAAATTGTGGTTACCCACCAAAGGCTATGTCATACTACATCACTTTTCTTCTCCTCCAGCAAGTAATAGAGGTGGTGAAGCCTGCAGATAGCCCCTTCCCAGATCCTCTAGAAGAAGGAATCTCATTTGATGTTTACTCATCACTCCTTGAGCCACCCCCAACATCGGTTACAGATATGAAGGTATGCTTCCTTCCCCCCACCACTACCCCCTTTAATTCACCCTACCTCAGCCTTATATTTTCTGAAGAGGGCTTGAGGGGAAGGAACGAAATATCCTTGCAGTTTTTTTCCTTCTGATTTTTCCTAAATAAATACAAAATATTTCTTTATATGTTAGTTCACAGATGGACCCGTTAAAAGTGGTTTGGCAGTTTTAATCTCTTCCACCCCATCGTCCCAGATCTCCACCTTTACTCTTCCAAAAGTCAGCACTGCATTGGCAGCGAGACTCAGTCTATCATGGCCCTAACAGAAAATGAAAATGCAGGGTAGTGTCAGATCAAAACTCCCTCCAGATTAAATCGTTTCTGGTAGAAAAGTAGCCAGTAGAAGTCTGAGATTCCATAAAAATCATTGAATGCTCCAGAAATCATTTTAGCGTTGTTTACTTTCAATATCCTAGAGGTTGAGTCGAGAACAAGGCGCCGAAGAGACCCAGCCAGAAACTGATGCGTTAGACATGGATCCTTTAGCTGGTTTCACCATTGAAGATATAAAATCAGTGCTGGGTCAAGTCACAGATGATGTTCTACTCAGCATTCAGGTACTCAGTATTGACAGTGTGCTCACTTATTTTATTACTGTTTAATTAGCCAACCTCAACCTTAACATCTGTAAACACTACCCACGCTCTGCCAGCAAGAGTGAAGTTTATGGTGGAGAAGTTCAATTTAACATCTCAACATAACTCTCAGTTGAATCTCTGAGATTAATAAGATCACCAAATAGATTTGCCAACAGCATCTAGTGTCGGGTGTATTATCAGTTTACAAAACCATTCAGCATCAAAACCCCAAAAAATAACACAGGAAAACTTCGTGCCTTCTCCCACTGTAAACATTGCTCATGCTGGAGTAATCTGAGTACATTTGTAAGCAGTAAACACTGAAGGCCAAACCATAATTCTGAGCTGAGTCTTCTCACCAAATTTCTAAGGAGAGACTTTAGAGTCTTTGACCCCCCTTTCAGATGGTTTGTTCCTTTGCACATGTCACTAATAGCTAAACAATTTACACCAGTGGCTGCATGAAAATGGTGACTGTAACAGCTGCCAGTGACTTATCAGCCAACTTAGCTTTATGCTTTTCTTTTCCATTCTGTCCAACAACAACAACAACAAAAAATCAATTGTTTCTACCTAGATACAAAGTTTTGTAGAAATTCACATCATTTCCTAGGCAAATGATTAAATAAGTGAATTGCAAATTTTGAGTTATTTTGGAAATTACCACAAATCAGTTGGACAACATACTGAATATTCAAAATACTAATGCATCTCAAGGTATGCTTGATTTGTTATCTGAACATGAGACCATATATAAAAAGCACACCGTACTAACAACTAATGTAGAAAGAGCAAAAGATTAGCTTGGCATAAGAATACCTTGCTACTTGTTTAATCATGGAATATTATTGCACTATTTACATGAACATACACTGATTTGGTGCCAACGGAATCAGCCAAAGTCCTCAGCTTAATAAGGGGTGTTTAGTGTTTACCAGAAATAGTGGAAGAACACGTTTTACACAAAGCTTTATTGTTAACAACCCCATGAATGTAATAACTGGTTACTGTGTGGAAGGGCAGAGTGCAGTTGAATTAAGCTGAGTTCATAACATATCTCCTTTTTAGATTTGATAACATTTCATCTAAATATAGTTTATGTATAATCATCGCCCTGGGCTCCTTGCAATCCTGCAACTCTGAAATTATTGCTGAGTAACTACTAGACAGTAATAGAATTGTTTGTAGGCCCCAAAACTTGAAAACATCTTTAGCAAGGCCATGTTCCATGTACATTGAGTTTCTTTTTTTTTTTTTAAATATTGGAGTCTGCAGCATTTATACCACTACTCTATAACAGAAAGAATATGATTGCTGTATGTGTGTGTTATGTCCTTTTGGCCTCAAGCCACCCTTTCGGGGCCTAGAAGTTCACTAGCTTGCTCATCTAAATATAATTAGGCATAGGAAGATCTTGGACCAGAGCTGAGGGATGGTGATCCTTTAGGTGCCACGGTTATTTCCGTATTAAGTGGATTCATGGGCATCAGCCTGGGCCAAATGACTGCCAAGTTTTCTATAAAATGGCATAATGATGTGGATTTATACATTATCTTAAGATAGAAAACCCCTTTATGTATTTTCTATCAATAATCCTAGTAAACTGCATGCAGGTTAGGCAGGTACTACCCCGATGAACAAAATGAAAAGCGAGATACAGAAAGACTAAGTCACTTGTCCAGTTTCCAGGGCCGGAAACTGATGAAAGGCCCTGAATGGGAGCTGAGAACTGGGCTGTAGTCCTAATTCCAGTGCTATCCACAAAAACCACATAACCTCTAATATCACGACCAGACTACTTTGGGTTTTAATACTCCCGTGGTGTGGCACTTTTTCAGTGTTTACCCTTGTGTCTTGGTCAGATTCCAAGTTGGGTAATTACTCTCTGCTTACCTAAATTTCTCCTCCTGTTTTAGATGGGTAAGTTATTTTCCACTTCTAAAACCTGACTGCCAGTGTTCCTGGCTTTAAAAACTGCCACATCCCCTTTTCAAAGGTAGCTGCATGTCAGATGTCAGTGGTCAGTGTGTACAAGCCTTCTGAACACACCAACCTGTTTTCCTGAGTATAGCAAAAGTCAGTGAATTCTTATTTATGAGATGTTTTAAAAATTTCCATAGTTTTTCTTCTCCTTTTCTAAAAAGTCATACACTTACTACAGTTTTTAGAGGAAAGGGCAGTAGAGAATCCATGTTTTAAGTATAATTTTTTCAGAGCTCCTTTTTCAGTAGTTACAGGCATATTTCACTTTCCATAATTCAGAAGTTTCTGAAAATGTGGTATGAATCCTTAAATTTTTCAGTGTAAATCCATTTTGTTTCCCATTGGCTCACTTTATAGTTTCAGAGATTTATTAAGAATGAAGTTATCTTGGCCCTGAGATGTTAATTAAAATTATACTGAATAGAGCAAGCCCTTTTAAACCTATATAGTTTAGGCATTTTAATTTTAAAGATACATTCAAAATGAAGTTATTTTGTCCCTGACTTATATAATAAAAATTATGCCCAATAGAGCAAACTTTAATATAGTTAAAGAATTGTGTTTCAGAGAACTATGAATACTAACACTAAATTCTTGCAATAAAGGTTGGCTGTTGGCTCTGTCCAAGCAGTATCGTAAAATAATGAAAAAACCTTGAAGGAAGTTTGCCATTTGAGGACCCTAGGTATTTTTAGGTCAACTTGAAACTTACAGGTTAGAAAAACTGGGTATGAGATCATTTCAAGGTAGTGGTCAATGAGAGGTTATTGAAATAAGGTCATGGGTTTTCCATTCTTTCCTAGAAGTAAACAGAAACAGCCACAGCCCTAGTGGTTGTAGGATAGCTCTTTTGTTTAGCAGTGTTCCTGGGAATACAAGGAAACATGGCACACTAATGACAACCAGTTCTTGACCTGACATGGAGTCTTTTGATCTGGGCTCTGCTAGTTGTGCCTGAACTGAAGTACTGACCATCACTGTCTAGAGAGTCAAAAGGTTATTTTCCTCTCTTAGTAGTACACCACTCTATTAGGCTTGCAGTTGGAATCAACTCAATAGCAACAGGTTTGGTTTGATTGGTTACTTTCATGAACCTTTTGCCAAAGGCCCACACTTGATTAGATGAATTTTTTACAGTGAAACACCAGAACAATTTCCAGGTTAATCTGAAAACCCTGGTGAAGTAGTAAAACAGAACCTGGTAAAAGATCATTTTTCCTTAGTTGAGAAGAAATGAGACTATTGGTGGATATAACCAAAAACCAAACATGTTGCTGTCGAGTTGATTCCGACTCATAGCGACCCTATAGGACAGAGTAGAACTGCCCCATAGGGTTTCCGAGGAGCGGATGGTGGATTTGAACTGTTGACCTTTTGATTAGCAGCCATAGCTCTTAACCACTGCACTACCAGGTCTCCATTGGTGGATATAGAAGAGCATTAATTCAAAGTGGAAAGAGTCAATGGATGAGTTAGAGCAATGGTTCCCAATCCTTTGAAATGGTGACAATATTATTTCTTCAAATCATTGCAATCTCTACATGGTCCAACATGTCCTATGCTGTAAATTTATTTTAATGAAATATTATTAACATGTTATTTTTAAAAGATTTCCTAATATTATATCAATGATACATGACACTAGCGAAGTATATCACCAAATTGGAAGTTGGAATTCATGAATTTAAAAGTAAGAAGGTATGTTATACGTTATCTAGTTCAACTGCTTAATTTTTCAGATAAGAACTAATGCCCAGGGCAGTTAAGTGACTTGCCCAAGCCCACACACCTAAACTAAAACCTAAGTCTTACACTCCTAGACTAGGACTCCTTTCACTCTACCAAAACCATTGCATGAGGGGATTAGTGATTCCTAAAAATGATAGTTTCTGGAGAGCCACTTTTCATGCATCCAAGCCTCCTCCACCCAACCACCAAGAAAGGAAAAGATGAGAAGCCAGAGGCCGGAGCTTGATCTAAGGGCTTACTAAAACTTGAACCAGAAGAGACTGATATTCACGTGAGAATTCAAAATTTTTGATACTAATATGATCTTATCAGGGCTGTCAACTGTCAAAGGTAAAGCAAAATCTCATCAGATAAGACAATCAGTGTGGAAATTTCAAAACTACCTATTAAGAGTCACACTCCTAAAAAAATAAAAATAAACAATCTGTATTTGATATTTTAAACATTGTATGTCTAAATTAAAGCAATAAAATCTCAAAACACAGTTACCCTGAAGACCTCAATTATAGTATAAATATTAACATTCTGAGCTTTAAATTAACACTTTTATGTACAGATTACTCCTCATAAACTTGTAGAATTTTTTAAAATTGACGAAACAGCAATAACAAAAGCAATTTTACTATGTTCCCCACCGTTAGTATCTTTGAATATAATTTTATTATCCATTGTGAAAAAGGGAAGACATTTCCAGGACTACTAATGTTCAGATAATCTGAAAGTATTTCTAGAATTGTGCAGGTAGCAATGTTAGTCCACAGAATATCACTGCTGCAGGCTAACTGCTCTCACAGCCACAGCAATCACTAAAACCTGTCAGCAATCACTTACCTTTTTTCTACCAAAAATATACCGCAAAGAGCATAATTCCAACAGTTATAATGTATGATGAATGCTCTTAATAATGAGAATTGTCCTAATCGTGAGATGATCTGTGTTGTTATTTATTTCACAACAGAAGCTTTCTGGGTTCCCGTTTAGAATGGATTACCCAGGAGACAAAAACATCCATTGCAAACGGGTGGAGGACCAACAGCAATGCAATAACTGAGCCCAGAGCAGTTATTCTGATTCGGTGCTTATTGGTAAAGTCTGTCTGAAAATACAGATAAATTATCCTATCTTCCAGCACAAGGCTATGTGAAAAATGGCTGTCGAAATACCACTTCCTGTTCATAGCAGACATGCTATACATTGGGAATGTGCAGAGAAATATGATAAAGTGTTATCACATCACTACAGGCTGAAACACGGCTATGTCTGCAAAACAGGAAGGTGTGTGAGGGATAATGTCTGTCTTTAGGCACTATACTATGTCAAAACCACAAAGACAATGTGCAGCAAAAGATAGCTCCATCATAACCACTTTTTTATGATTGTCTTCACAGACCGAGATAAACGAAAAGCTGCAAATACAGGAAGAGGCCTTTAATGCACGAATAGAAAAATTGAAAAAGGCCTGAGGACTCGGTGCAAGGAGAGTGACGCTAAACTTCACAGAAACAAACAAAACCAGCCGGAATAATAGACTGTAGAGCAGCGAACCTCCTTCATTTAGTTGTGAGAAGAAAACCAAGCCCCACTTTTATTATCCTAAGTAATTAGAAAAGTATTGGCCCCAATTTTGCTATCTCCTGTCCCATAACAGCCTCTGAATTTATTGCACTGAGTGTAATAAGAGCATTTTGTATACAAGAGTTTGGAGAATTATATATAAAAATACAATTACTTTTATGATACGCCTTTCACATTTCGACGAATAAACGCTATTCATCTTCAAGGAGAATGAAGCCAACTTTTTTAAACAACAAGAAATAAAGAAAAATAATAATAATTTGATCCACATTGACCCAAATGAAATGCCACATTGTTGGAGCACCGTGTAAAGCTACCAGTACAACAATACAGAGGGATAAAACTTGCTAAACAATGGCAATTCAAACGCATGTACAAGGGTTGCTTTTTTCTTTTTTTCCCCCTCAAATCATTTGGTTTTCTTACTTAAACGTTTCAGTGTGAAACCAATTTTCTGAAATTATATAATGCAGTTTGAAGCACTTTAATTTATTCTGTCCTGTATTTATTTCTAATCTTGTTACTCTCCCAGGAGAATACATGACCTATATAAAAAGAAGGATTGTATAAATGGTTATTAAAGACCAACCTATATATAGATTGTAAAAATCTTAAATATAAATCAAACTCACGGAACTCCTAAAATTAACCATTATATTGCGGTGGAATGATTGAAAATGTCTCAAGCCTTTAAATACCTTTATTAAAATATAATTTCAAAAGAAAAATATCCATTTGCTAACCAATAGTCCCTCATTTGACAAACTAAATTAATTACTACCTAGGTCCTTTGTCTTTCCAAATTGCTTAGACTTCAGAGCATTCTACAATGGAGAGCATTGTTAGGAGGGGGCAGTCCCTGCAGTAACTTTCCAGTTTGTTCTGTACTTGCATCCAGGTGGCACTTGGTTGAATATGTTTCGTCTGTGCTCTAATCTTGGGCTAAAATTTACCTTTTTCATGAGTATCAAAAGAATTGTCCAAAAAACTCTTCATTTGGGTCAGAGATAGATCTGACAGCACTTGATAATTTTCTAACTACACTGATGAACAAAGTAAGAGTAGCTCTTAAGATAAAGCCATGTTTGGTGCTCATGCAGTTCCAGGTTTGAAAAGCCTGGAGATGTGCTGGAATATGTTTCTGCCCTAAACTCTCCATCCTAATTGAAAATGTTGACAGCCATAGGAGACCCCTAGAAGGGCTCACAAGTCTGGGTTCCATTAAGCAGTCTTTTCCCCAAGGAAAACTAAAAGGGGAAACCGAACATGGGTAATAAAGGAGCTTCTGTTGTTGTTATTGTTAGGTGCTGTTGAGTCAGCTCCGACTTATAGGAACTCTACATATAAAAGAGCGAAACGTTGGGCCATCCTTATAATATAATGGGCTATGTTTGAGGCCATTGTTACAGCCACTATGTCAATCCATCTCATTGAGGGTCTTCCTCTTTTTCGCTGACCCTCTACTTTACCGAGCATGATGCCCTTCTCCAGGGACTGACCCTCCTGATAACATGTCCAAAGTACCTGAGATGAAATCTTGCCATCCTCACTTCTAAGGAGCATTCAGCTAAACACAGCTTCAAATCCAATAGTTGGCACAGAGTAGACCTGCATTTCTAATAAGGAATGCTTATTGTGAGCAGAGACAGATATTAGAAGTTTAAAACCGAAATTTAAAAAAATAGCACTAGGAGCCCTAAACACTTCACAGAGACAATATCGTATAAACATGGCTCACGATGGGGCCTACGGCTGTGATACTCGCTTCTCCATTGGCTAGTCCAAACAACTGGGCAATGGTCATTAGGAATCGGCAATGGCTTTTTGGGTATCCTAAGAGGTGACCAGAAACCAAACCTTACGACAAAAATGTGACTTTGGACAAGCTACTCAACCTTTGTTTGCTTATCTATAAAGTGGGGATAACAACTTATTTTTTAGGTTGAGAATTCAGTAAATTGATTTTAACAGACATTTGTTGTAAGATTTGGTTCATGTTTACCTCTTTCAAACCAAAAAAAAAAAAAAAAAAAGAACTAATTGCTGTTGAATTGATTCTGACTGACAGTGACCCCATGTGTGCAGAGTAGAAATGCTCCATAGGGTTTTCAAGGCTGTGTGACCTTTCAGAAGCAGATCATTAGGACTTTCAGTTGTGCCATCCAGTGACTCCAAATGCCATTGCTCATTCTTAATGACCATTGCCCAGTTGTTTGGTCAGCCTGTTTCCCAGAATTCTCAGCCTTCTGTGTCTCTACACTGGCACCTGTGAGTCCATGTGTCCCCCTACTCTGTTGAAGTCATGTCACAATGTCCACTTTGCCACCCTGCTGTCCTACATCTTTCATGTTGGGGCAACCCAGGAGTCTCTGTGACAGCCGAACGTTAAGATCTAATAATAATAGGAGTGTCTTAGTCATCTAGTGCTGCTATAACAGCGATACCACAAGTGGATGGCTTTAACAGTTAAAGAGAAGTTTATTTCCTCACAGTCCAGCAGGCTACAAGTCCAAACTCAGGGTGTCAGCTCCAGGGGAAGGTTTTTTCTGTCAGTTCTGGAGGAAGGTCCATGTCATCAATCTTCCCTTCGTCTGGGAGCTTCTCTGCACAGGAACCTCAGGTCCAAAGGACGCGCTCTGCTCCCAGCACTGCTTTCTTGGTGGTATGAGGTTCCCATGTCTCTCTGCTCACTTCTCTCTTTTATATCTCAAAAGAGATTGGCTTAAGACATACCTAATCTTGTAGACCTCATCAACATAACTGCCGCTAATCCATCTTATTACATCATAGTGATAGAGCTGACAACACATAAGGAAATCACATCAGATTACAAAATGGTACACAATCATACAATACTGGGAATTACGACCTAGCCAAGTTGACAGATATTTTTGGGGAACACAATTCAATCCATGACAAGGAAGAAGAGCTATAATAGCAATAATATCCACAATATTTAATTTATAGTCTACTCTTTTTAAATTAATTTTGGAATTGATAAAAGAATATAAGTACTTCATTTAAAAAAAAAATCCAAAGTGCAGACAATGAAAAATAACTCTCACTCTACATACCCATATTCCTCTCCCCAGAAATAACCCTAGCTTCCAGTAAATCCTTAGAAAAATATTTTTTGCCTATTCAAACAATTGGATGTGTGTAGAGTGTTTTTTTGTTTTTGTTTTTTGCACAATATGCATTTTTCTTTACATTTCTTTTTTTTTCTTTTTTGACCAAATAATAATTTTGGAGTTAATTCCCCATCAGTATATTTTTAACGACTGCATAGTATTTCATTTTATCAACTTCATTTTTTTTATTAGTCCTATTGATGAACTTTTTATTGTTTCCAGAACTTTGTTATCACAAACAAGGCTGTATCAGCCATCCTATGGATAAATCTGCATGAACATATATTATTACACTTACAGAATAAATTTTTAGAAGGGAAATTTCTAGGCCAATTTGTATGTGCATCTCCATCTTGATAGATATCTTCAAATTGCCTTCCAAAGATATTTCACCAATTTTTACCCCCACCAACAATGTATGAGAGAGCTTCTTTCTACACACTGTTACCAATAGCATGCATGAGGCAATTTTTTATATTTGGTGTCTTAAGCTGGGTTCTCTAGAGAAGCAAAACCAGCAAAGTGTACAAATATATACATAGAGAGAGATTTGTATCCGGGAAACGGCTCATGTGGTTGTAGAGACTGTAACATCCCAAGTCTGTGGATCAGGATAGAAGCTTCTCCTGATTCACATAGCCACAGGGGCTGGCGAACCCAAGACCAACAGGTCAGAGAGCAGGGCTCTTGCTCACAGGCTGCAAAGATCGACGAATCCCAAGATTGGCAGGCAAGACCACAGGCAAACTGCTAGCTCAAGTTCCAAGAACTGGAGGTCAGACAAACAGGAGCCACCTGCAGGATCCAGAATGAGCAAAAGCTCTTGAGCCTTGCCAGAACGTCTGCTTATATTTGGGTGCAGGCCACACACCCAAGGAAACTCCCTTTCAACTGATTGTCTACTCACAGCAGATCCCATCATGGGGGTAGTCACATATCAAATCTCAACAGGGAAGTGATCACAATATTATATGACTGCCAAAACCCTGAGAATCATGGCCCAACCAAGTTGACACAATCTACCATCACATTTGGTATTCTGATTGATAGAAAATAATGTTACATTGTTGTTTTAATTTAATATTTTTGTTTTATTTCTCATGGGTTGAATACTTTCCATATGTTTATAAGCTAAATATATGTATATATATAATATATATATTTATTACATATATTGTATAAATATAATATCTATCTATATATCAAATATATGTAGTTATAGATATCAAAAATACTCATTTAATCCTTCTAACAATACTGAGAGATAGATATTATTATCCTCATTTTGTAGCTATGGAATTTAGGTTTAGAGAGATTATTAACTTGAACAGAGTTGCGCTACTATTAATTGGTGGATCTGGGCTTTAAATTCAGGTTTCACCTGCTTTACAAATGAATAAACCAGAGCAGAGATAAATTCTAAGTAACTTTCCCACAAATGCTCAGCAAGTGGTAAAACCAGATTTTGAACTTAGGTCTGTCTGATTATAAAACCCATGTACTTAACTACTATCTTCATCTAGCCATATCATGATCAACATAAAATAAAGTGAGAACTGGCCTTCTTTTTCATTATTAGTTATTGTTATAGATTAAATTGCATAACTAAAAAAGATGTGTTGGAGTCCTAACCCCTATACCTGTGACTGTGACCTTATTTGGCAATAAGCTTTCCCTTTTGCTATCAGTTAAATCAAATGAGGTTATACAGGAGTAGGGTGGGTCCTAATCCTAATCCTATATGGCTAGTGTCTTATAAAAGGAAGAGAACAGACATGGAAAGAGTCACACACAGGAGGAAGACAGCATATAAAGATCAGTCTACAAGCCAAGGAACACCAAAAAATGCTCAGGGTTAGAGAGGCTGGAAGACACAAGGAAAGATCTTCCCCTAGAGAGAGCAGAGTTCTGCTGATGACCTTAATTCAGACTTCTAACCTCCAGAACTGTGAGAAAACAAATTTCTGTTCTTTAAAGTCACCCCCTTTGTTGTATTTTGTGATGGCAGTCCTAGCAAACTAAGACAGTTATGATAAGGGAATAAACTTCTTTATGTTGTTAGTATATGAGGAAT